TTTTTTTTTTAATAAACGATCATGTATAACAAATAAATTAAAACAAACTTGTAGCCCATTCAATTCTAGTATAGTAAGTGCAAGTTTAAAGTAGCTAGGACTTACGGTTGATGACCCCTGTGAGATACGCCTTAACCGATTTCAATCGGGGCCAAAATTTATATGTGACACCTGCGACAAAAGTAATAATAATATAAAAATGTACTTCCTACATTTAAGGACCACCCTAACATACATACGGGTGTAGATGAATATGAAGGGTGTACATTACGCTTAATTGATGAAAACATTAGAAATAGCAACTCATAAATTCCAATTAACGCTAAACCAATTAAAATTAGAGTGAATTAGTCTATCATTTAAAACATCATTTGGCCAAACATTTTCATGCCACACTGTCTTCATTATTAAATTAAATTTTTTTCTTTTTTCTTATCATTTCAGAAACTTCATGCTGAACGTCTGCAACCGAAATTGCATCAAGTGTCTTTATGTATCTGCCTTCGTCAGTAATTTCATTTAGAATATTGAAAGCTGCTTTAGTTTCAATAGAAAAGTGGAGTTAACAGTAACATTAGAATTTTTAAAAGGAATTACTATTTATGTAATTGTGATACATGTAATTAATAATTAAAAAATAACGACACAAACGAAGTGTTGCTGGTGGACAGTAAGCACCAAAACAATCCATAAACAATCCAAGGCCTTCAACTGTGATTTTAAGCTGGTATCGTTTATTTTGCGTAATCATAAATTATAAAGTCGCTAATTAGTGTATTAGCCGGAGATTTCAATTTAAATATAAAACTATAGAAATAGTCAGCAAAATGTTTAACCTCAACACACCTTCGTCACTGCTGGGCATCGATGGATGTGGGCTTAGCTCTACACCGAAAACGCCTGAAATTGTTAACTCACTGATCGCAATGACAAATCCAATGGATAATTATAACTTTTCGGCTTTAAATAATGGATCAGCTGCATCGACGCCTGGCAGCGCAGTCTCTATGCGTAACTTAAATGGTGGTGTCCCGCACGCCCAGGTAATAAAATATTTTTAATCAATTTTTTTTTGTTTTTTACATCGTGTCAGACTATGCTAGCAGTAATATACTAAAAATATAATAAAATTATTTAACTAGTTTATGATTTTTGATTTTATGCAGCACTTCCACTAGACATTAAAATAACAAGAAACCTTGCAATTTAAAAAAATTATTAACGTAAAGGCGCAGGCGGGCTTTCTTTGTCATTAAAATTGTTAGCATTTTCTGTCCAGTGGAAATCCGGCATTAGTGGTTTGCATACTTTTAATATATTAATGATTCTTTTCCAGATCATTTCGCAGGATAGTAGTCATTCCAATTCTTCTACTTCACCAATTGACTCACCAGGTGGAACGAATACCACACCAAGTGTTCAGCAGGTGAGTTTTTATTATTAAAAGTGGGTATACATTTAAGTAACTAAATAAATTTTTAAAATTGTGGTACATGTCTATATATATATGTATATAGATACGTAAGTTTCTGTACATACATACATATAAACCGCTGCTGTCCCTATATGTAGTTCGCAATTGCTTGTCTTCAACTTGAAAGCCATATGGCGAGTTATTGTTCTGCGAAGGCGAAATTCATGCTGTTACGTATTGCGGCGTCTTCACAAACTTGATAAGTTGACAGTCCAAGGAGTGCATATAGAAGAAACCGCATAAATAATACCGCACGGTCGACTGGTCGACTGGGAACTACCCAAAAAGGTGCGAAGTGCAGCACTAGCAAACAGCGTAATATATGTACATACATACATACATATGTATGTATGTAAGCTGTGCGACGCCGAAATATGCTTCCATCCACCCACCAGTAGTTGTCATTTTAGTGAGGTCCTCTTGAATCAGAAAGATGACTATGTCACTTAAGTAAGCGCAAGCCCAGTAAGGTTTTGCGGATTTAGGTCAAACCATTGCAATTCGTTATTGCCATTATACATAGGTATGTACCATGTACATACATACATAGTAAGCGTGAGCATTTCATTGCAAACGTAGTAAGTGCATGCATACGTATGTATCTACACAGTAATAAGTGCATGAATGCGTAAAAACGGGTACAATTGTGTGTAGAGCGAGCGAGTATTTTTTTATTGCTGCCTCCATTTACTTTAAGGTGTGGGCACACTCAGCGACCACTGTATGTGTACATACATACGTACATATCGCAGCACGTTTGGTAATGTAACCAAGTATTTCAAAATTTCAATTTTGTGGGAAAACGCAATCAAAGTTTTATAAATTCATACAGTTGGTATACAAAAAAAGACTGATGGAAAGACACATATCTTCGCCATATTTCGGAAGTTTGGTTATCTGTTAGACTCAGGCTGCGTTTCTTTAAACATTCCGGATAATCCCATTTCACAGCCGGAACAAACAGAATACGTTTGAAATATACGTTAGCATATCATCAGGAATATTCTAAAGAATAAGTAAACAAAAAAGTTTATTCCAAATATTCAGAATGAATAAAGAAATGCAGCCTCAATATACTCTACTTATAAAACGTATTAATTGCATAATGAAATCTCCAAAAACGTAAATTTTTGAGTTACATCTCTATATTATTAAACGCGCAATATGCATGTATATATATTGTCTACACGAAGTGGCATTGATGTGCAAAGTTTTTGCTTATCAAGATTTGTGCGGTTTGCATTGATTTTTTACTAAAGCAACAGCAATAACAAACAGGCTCTATAATGTTGTGAGTTTATATTTTAAAGACGTGCGAACGAAAACACGCAGATTTAAATTTTAGAGTTGATTTTCGAAATCAAAAAAAAAGAGAGAAATATGGAAATACATACATATATTCGTACATATAAATATGTGGGAACATATGTATGTATGTGGTTATGTTCACACATACTCAGTAGTAGTTGATTTATAGGCAGGAAAAGGAGAACCGAGAGCACATAATATTTGCCTAAAGATTATCTACTTAAATACCACACTTACTGCCGAAAAAATAGGATTTGCACAAACTTTTCTAAACTCGGATATATTTATGTACATTTTGTAACACATGTACATATACTTCTTGTAGAAGCATTCCCTGCAAAAAGTGCGACTAATCCGGGATGACTCCGGTAGCAATCGCAAAGGAATATGCGCGACTAATACCACCCACTTTTTATCTCTTTATATGGAATGAACTGTTCGCTTTTGTTCGAGCATGTCCTATGAAGAGACTATAATTGTTCCCCTTTATAACCGAACGGGAATTAAAAGCGACTAGTCACTTTTAAAAAATAAAAATAAAAATTTGCGCCAGCTGAGATTCGAACCGGAGTTCTCAGTTTTGTTAAGCGAATACGCCGCACATGAAATTTCATTGACTAAGTGCGTACATATCATTAAATCGTTAATACTACCCGTTAGGGATAAGTCGGGGACTAATTGATCTCCAATAATTAGAATAATTGATCTCCATTAGTACCTGTATGAGACTAGTTGCGACTAATTAATGCCCAAGTGTAGCCTTGAGTTGAGAGTAATCTCGGAATACTATCTGTAGAGATTAGTCGCACAATTTTTTGCAGGGATGGTCGTACCAAAATTCGACAAGCGAGCCAGCCAGCACATATACACATGTACGTACAGATTTATTGGTGTATATATGTATGTATGTATGTACATGAATGAGATTTTTAATTAACTGCACTTGTAGACTAGCGTCAAAAGCAAGCTCTCTTACGCAACGGAGCTTTGTGCTGGAGTAAAAATGAACAAGTTGCCATTTTTGGTAGCCTCGAACCAGTGCAGCACCACCACCAAATATGAAATGTGCACTTCGGTGCAAGCATTATGGCGTTTTTGGCTATTGGTGGCAGACAGGATTTTCTTACGTCGAAGCATTTTTGGAAATCCTACTAAAGTGATTGGTGGTTTGATTTTTGTGCATTGCCATTCGCTATACGACACCATTCGACCGTCAATGAATCACAATGACATACATATGTATACAAGCCAACGATTATGTAAATAAGAAATCAGCACTGAACTTTAAAATGCAAAAAATAAAAAAATATTTATTAACTTAAAATTATTTATTAATGAATATTGGAAAGCAACTCCGTGCTATATCGTCAGTGATACAGCAAAATATTCTATGCCAATTATTACCTCTGGTGCTGAAATGACCTCTCAGCAATTAGTCTGTTCCTTTGAACTTCGGACTAAAAACTGTGGAACTGTCAAACTACAATTTTACGCTCTCAAATGAGAGTAAAAGGAGAACAGATGCAGAAATGCATAGGAACGCAAAAAGCCCTATTTCCTGTAAAAACGTCAGACGGTTTGTTTACATGTCATTGGTACTACACAGATTTGGCTGAAATATCACTAAATAATTATTAAAATCTATACATATTCAAATATTTCGTTGTTTACTTCCATTTTTTAACAAATATAAGGTTCTTTGCTTTCACCGCTTTCTGTTTTTGTTTGCACATGTTAATCAGCTGATCGTTTGACACTTTTCATGAACTTACAGGAAAAAAAATTCCGGACTAAATCCTGTAACTTCTGACTAGGAACAGTTGTTCAGTTACTCTCTCAAATGTGTTCCCACTTACAGGTTTTATGTCAATAGGAACGACTTCCTGTAAGTTCTGACTAAATCCTGTAAACCGGACTGCTATTGGAACAGACTATATATCTGATCACTTCTGTTAATCGTTCATCTTCATCAGCCAAAATTACGGTGACCATCCGTTCTTATATAATGATGTGTAACATAGCACAGTACTGTGCTAACACTCATCAATGTGCCGCACGCTCAGGCAAACTTTTTGATTAAACGATAGCACAGAAGCGCACTGGGCACAATATGAAAGCACAAACTGGGAAGTGTTCTCGCCGCCAATGATCGCAAACATAAGGAAATGGAGAAGTAAATTAGTTCTCAAAGTTTGAAAGGGAAGTGGATCACTTCGAAGGTCCGCTTTGTCATTCAGCTTGTTCCGGATGCTTGCACTGCATTGTGCTTGGCCGAAGTCCGAGTAGGAAAATAATGCTTTCAAAGTAGCGTAACAAATTTGAAAGTTCTGTCGCCAACTTTTACGTATAATAATTAGTACCACTAAGGATAGAAATACTAGTAGTTAATTATACATAGTTAGATTAGAAAGTTACCATCAAAAACTTTTGAATTAATTTAAAACTTTCACTTTCTCAGTAAATCTGTTACAACATAGCAATTTTTTATTTTATTTTTAAATCTTCACTTATTTCTTCTAGACCTGTTCGCAACTTATCAAGGCTGGGCTCAAGCTTTCCATCCAAAGCAAGCGAAAACTTTCTACTTGTGATTCCAGCTCTGGTTCTGATCAGCCAAACTCAAAGTATTCTCGCCCAGACGAAGATGGCGAAGATTCATCAGATGAAGAAAACGAATGCAAAACGACAACAAAAGGTCTAACGCCGGAGGATGAAGATCGTCGGCGTCGCCGCCGCGAACGAAATAAAATCGCTGCTACGAAATGCCGGATGAAGAAACGAGAACGTACACAAAATCTGATTAAGGAATCAGAGCAATTAGAAACTCAGAATGTCGATTTGAAGTCGCAGGTGCGAACTTTAGAAGCTGAGCGTCGCAAATTATTTGACATGTTGCAATGCCACACAACCACCTGCGTGCATGCGGGTGGACTTAATTTACCATCTAAACTCATGCAGTCGCCAGCTCATAAGTACCTCGCTGCCCTCGATATAGATGAAAATAGTACTGCCAATAGCAGCTCGGCGTCAACAAGCGTGACTGCTAGTGGAGCCCATTCCCAAACGCATCAACAAAGTCAGGCCAGCATTGCTCTAAGTAATCAGTCGGCCCATGGAGTGCAACGCACAGTGATCCCACCAATGTCAACCATTAAATTTTCACGAAGTGCCGCTGTAAACCAACAGCTGCACCAATTACCCACGCAACAACAGCATCTGCCAAATGGCTACTGTAAGCCATCACCCACGCCACAGGAGCTCGGCTACCTAGCTTCACCGTCACAAGAAAGCATATGCTTGCCCGCCATTCTTCCACAACTTTCTTCGCAAACTCCTGCCACCCACCAGATTGGAGCTGCCAATGTTAGTGCCGGGTCAGTGCCTTCCATTAACCAGCAGGTCTCCGATTACATTCCAAACTGTGAAAATAGTCTTGGTCTAGTACTGGCACACACTCCCACCTCTGTTCAAAGCAACGATGACAACAGCATCCTACTTGGTGACATGGTTAGCCCACTATCGGTTATGTCCACACCCACCACGGCAACGGAGTTCGTCAAAAACGAGCTAGTCGACTCGCAAAGCCCTTACACCACCGCCCAGTCAGCTGAACGTTTTCTCTTTGAGAGTAATTGTGACAGCTTCATCGATATCAAGCATGCCGTCAACTTACATCATGGAATTCTCAATAGTAACAACAACAACAACAACAACAACAACAATAGCATTGCAGCTATCCATCACAATATCAACAACAACAATCTTTTGGATTTCAATACCTCTTTGATAGGTAACGGCAGTGGAATTGTACCATTCCACGATCAAATATCGATCAAAAACGACTATCTGCACGATGCCGATTTATTGGCCCAGTTCACGGCAGACGGTGCTGATTTTGTAGACCTCGATTCCAGTGTTGCAGCGACATTTATGACAAATAATGGCTGTTTGGCGTGAAATAGACCTTCGACATTTTCGAATGAATAAGAGTTTATATTGGGGAAATAAGAAGCGTTATCACAAAAAGATAGCCAGCCGTCTTCGTATGCATGCATAAAAACTGCTTTTCTTTAATATCCGTTCTGTTGACTCGCGTGCGTTGGTGTTGTTGTTATTGCAATTCGTTATTCATTTCATTTTTATAAACAAGCAATTAGGAAGTGTTGAGTTAAGAAATATATGTATAGATACCAATAAAATGTAGACACTAATTAGAGTTATGAATAGAACACCGCCAAAGTCACAAAATTACATATGTATGTATGTATGTATGTACCTCTACATACACATACTATTTAAATGCTGCATATACTGCATACATATACATATGTATATGAATGTATGATGTTGGTGTTAACCCTAGATGCTAATCAAACCATCCTAGTACTAGACGTAAGTAAGTGGTTGTCTGGGCTTCACAGTTTTTTTACTAAAATGTTTGCGTCTTCCAAAACATTGATTTCAAGCGAACTTTGACATTTCATTTTAAAATTATTTGACGCCAAATTTCTCTTTCAATGCTAACGATTACGAAGAGCCTGATTACCACCAACCTCGAATAACAAACAAACACAACCGAATTGGCTTTGATGGTTTTTGATTTTGAAATGAAATGCAATCACGGGTTTTAAACGAATCCCGTTTTATATAAGTATGTGGCTTTACTACCTCAAAACAGCAACAAAAATGAAATACGAGTACTTCGTGAAAATTTGTTGCGGTCCAAAAATTTACAATGGTGGGACATGCATAGAATTTAAATCCACACATACATATGTACATGTATATTTTTTTTTTTCTGTTTACTTCTGTTAAATGTATTGATCAAATAACATTCCAAAATTGTAAGGAAATATATGTAGGCTTAAATTTTTTAAATCGCTACACATTTTACGTAAGTGTACGTTACGAAGAATCAGAATCACATCCGCAACAGTAATTATTATATTTAATTGCGACTTTATGTATACTCCCAAGTGATTTCACATTGAAAAGATAAAGTTTGAGAAGGAAATTAAACTTTAGTAAAAATACACTATAAAAAAAAAATGTTTAATCGAAGACAAGCAGAAATGTTTTCATTGAAGAGATTATTTAAAATCTAAAAATCTGTCTCGCTGTAATTCTTAATAAAGTTTTAATTTATTTATTTTTTTATTTTAAATATGTGCGTGTTAATAAAATGCTTATGTGTTTCTATTAGGTTCTTATTTATATCTCCTATACCTTTGTTGTAATAGTATTTATTGTTTTATTTTAACTTGTGTACTTTTTATTTTTAATTTTTTAATTTTGCAATTTAGTTTTAAAAGGAAATCTATGATATTCTGTATAAGTGATAAACATATGTACATATACGCCTGCATGTGTGCATATGGGCATAATTAAATATAGCCATAAGAAGCAACTGTAAATGTAACATGCAATCAGCTTAAAAATAAACTAAACTAACCTCATATTTTATTTATGATATATGTATGTATTTATTAGTGTATATGTACGAATATGTATAACTAAAATACTTAAATAAGGAAGAAAAACAGAAAGAAAAATAACAAACTTTCATCTTCAGTGTTGCCTTAAATGTTTACAAGAAAAAAATAGAATAAAATAAATTAAACTGATATCAATAATGATACTAAACGAATAGTTTGTAAAATCATTTGCCTTATTCAAAATTCAAGAAAGTGCGCTTAAAATTAAAAAAAAATAGCTCTGATAAATAAATTACTATATATGTACTAGTATACCGCTAGCATAGTTACTTTATGTAGGTATATATGTATGTGTGTATGTGCATATAAGCATACAAATGTATGTACATATGTACATATAAACCGAAAATATTTATGTACGTGCTACGCGCACAGGAAACTTAATGGAAATCATAACTGTTGAAACGAAATTTTCTCACAATAGAAAACAAAATTAAGTGAAAACAAAAATGTTTGTCGAAATCAAAATAAAAATTGCAATTTACATACATAAGTGTATTTTATCAAAATCTAAGTTCAAATGTTTTAGCTGTGAATACTATTTTGTGGCCTGTATAGAGTGATATCAACGAAAAACTGTTGTATCATTTTTTTTAAATATACATATTTGTGTACGAGTTCTAATCAACTCATGCCACTTGATGCTTTATTCGTGTGTTGTTGCTAGCTAGACGTTCACATTTTGCAAAACAAAAAATTAAATTAAATAACAACAGCATTACAAATATTCCTGGATATGTGTAGATACACCGAAGTTAAAATATGTAATTGCTGAGCGCTCAGAAGGAGCTTGTCTAAATGTCAATAGATGTAAAATATCACAAGTTTGCAGCCGCACATATACATACATACATACCATTCCCATCCCAAATTGTCATAGGCTTTTCAGATCATGTGTCCATACTTATTAGAAAGTTACAGTTCTTAGCATGTTATTTCAGTAAACGCAAATGTTTGAATTTATAGTTAAATGAAAACGGCGGTAGCAAAAATAAATTATATCAAATCAATGGCTCTCCATATTTTAATAAATGTTTTTACGTTTTTTTTTTTTTTTTTATTAAAATGATATCAGAATCCTACACACGATTTATGTCGGAATATAATGTATCATATACATACATACATATGTTTGTATGTAGATATACAAATATTTAAATATACAAATAATTCACTACAAGGCAACAACGCCAAAGAAAAAGCATTAAGAGTACGATTAAATGCCTCCCTATTTTGTAAGAATAGGCGATGCCATATAGTCCAACAACAACATTGAATACCAAATCATCTCAATCAATATACATACATACACATTTTTATAATAATTCACATACGAGTGAGTATTCATAAGCCGCATACACAGTTGTTTGGCAAAAATACTAATTGTATGGCAAATATGTTTGCCTATGGGGACATTTGATATATGTAACAACTTTTCTTGACTGAGCACTTAATTGTCAGTATACTGGATTCTTGTGCACTATTACAATATCGCAAAACAGGTAAACGAAAAAAAGAGCAAGAAATAAGTGCCTACTCGTGTGAATATCACGAGATCAAAAGTTGAATTAATTGTGCCTTTGAGATTTTGAAAATTTGCAACTATGGAACCTCTAACAAATAACGTTCGCTGCGACTAATTGGCTAGAGGTTCGTACTACCGCTCCCTAGGTCCACAGTTCAACATACTCTACTCGGCAGGCAAGGTCAAACCTCCGATTGAAATTCATTTGCCGTTCAGAGGCGACAAAAAACTGTAGGCCCTCCATTTGTGTAACAGCATCAGGATGCACACCACAAACTGGGGGAGAAGCTCGGCGCCCAAAATTATATTAGTATTATTTAATCTAGGAAAAATTCTTAATTGTACTAATTGAAAATTACATTAACCGAATATTGCGGTTATCGGTATTGCCTGTATTAAGAACCAGTATTGTCTCCAACAAATTTTACAGAAAATACAAAATTTTGCAGTAAAGCTGCAATTTTACACACTTTTCTGGGAGCAAAAATGCTAAAGTCAACTAAGTTGTTACGTCAAAAATAAAAAAAAAAAAGAATTTATGTATGCGACAATTATTGCACAAACCGTTGTTATTTTAACTAAAAACAAAAGAAAAAATGCTAAAGTCAACTAAGTTGTTACGTCAAAACTAAAAAATAATAAAAGAATTTGTGTATGCGGCAATTATTGCACAAACCGTTGTTATTTCAACTAAAACGAAATGTTCAAACCAAATAATAAAGATGCAATCAAAGTGACCAAAAACCAAGAATACAAATAATAATAATAATGAAAGGGTATTATATTAAGGCGTACAGAATAAATGTTATAAATTTTCCAGCTAGAACTGAAGCCATCATTGACCAGTGTGAGTTAACAATTGCCAACAAGTGTACATTGATTCAAAATTATAAATATTTTCTTAGTATTTGTTTCGACTTATGCGAGTGCCCTAATCCCTACATCCCTTATTTAAAACTATTCAACTTTTACCTATTCTCGGCAACACATACATATACATATAAAATCGAAAGATAACTTTAAGCGTTCAACTTAAATTGAAAACTAAAGACAAACTTAAATACATACATACATACATACAGATAAAGTAAGCTATAATATAGCGCTACAGCAGTACCTGTTAAGCTAACAGTACCTTTTTGAATGGCGCAGGGGTATAGTCTATATATATAGTCACTTGTATTTTTTGTCGGCTTATCGAAGTTCATATTAATTATTATAAAGCTAAATAGAATGAATGAAAGTTAAATACCGGTCGATCACATGTGCAAGTGTTGGCAATTTTCAATAATACTCAAAATTTAATCACAATTTAAAAAAAAAAACTTAACAAATTTGTGCTATATGTATTTTAATTTTGAAAAGGGCAGTGATAAGTGCCAAACTGCTGTGCAAACTATTTAATAAATAATTAAAATATTTTTGACTTGGGCAAAAATATATTTAAATATTTGTATATTATGTTATTTCAAACACTTAAGTGATTTGTTTTTGTAAAATTCAGAAAACAGTTTCAATTTTGTTACTCGTTATATTGAGATGTTTGTTTTATTATATGTTATGCTTATTTTAAACAAAACACATATGTAAATAATACACATACTCACACATATGTATGTAAGTACATTAGACCGTATCCCCAAAATATATGGGGCTAGAAGGACAAAATATTCCAAACGGTTTTTAAATCCAGCTATTGGAGTATATTTCAGGGATGTAAAAACGTTTGCCTACGGCACCTCAGAAAAACAGTTATTTTGGGATTCACCCATAACCCCTCCATACGATTCCGGAATTGTTCAAGTGATATATAACACCGTTAAAGCTTAAAAACAATTATATTAACTGTTGATTTACGGGGGCTGCATCCAGAAAAATGTAAAGAAGAGTGAAAGTAGCGGGTAAAAATAAAGATTGTGGCGACCGTAATAAGGCCAACAAGGTGGTGACCATGCTGAAGAAAAAATCCCAAGCTTTCAGGATGAAAAGAGCTGAGTTAACTGATTGTTTCGAGTCATTTGTACGAAGAGTGAAAGAAGGAGAGCTGCAAAGTTCAGAAAGTTACAACAAATTTTTTGAGCATTGAATCAGTGGTTACTGAGATATATGTATTTATTTTTCAATGCACAAATTTCTAATAACGCTTTTCTTATGTAACTCTTTAAAAGTCGATTTAATTGTTTGAACTAATTTTTGTGATACGGCCTAATGTACATATGTACATATAGTAATATACATATTTACATACATATGTGTGTGTTCACAAAAGTATCGGCAGCCAAAACGCACATATGTACACACATAATTCATTTAGAGGCAACGAAATGTTTTTTTCTTTTTGTTTTTACTTTTTAAGAAGGCACACGTTAATTTTGAATAGTTTTTATATGACTCGGCCTTATGTTTGTCAGCAAAGAAGTCTACCGCATTTAAATACAAAAAAAAAAAATATGTAATGCAAAAAAATGCACTCGTTATAAAGATGTCGCCTACAAACAATACACATACATATAAATATATAGTGCTTTTCGACACTCACATATCGGTAAGATTTGATCATTTATCTTAATATTTTTTTAATTTTAATTATTTATTTATAAAAATATAGTACGTTCCTTAACAAATACCATGGTTTTATATGTATATAAATCGAAGTTTCAATCTTTGTGGAACATTCAAAAAAAAATTAACAAACCTTCTTAAAAATTTCGAGCTTTTTAATTCGATTTTTTAGATATATTTTGCATTCAAGTTTAGTATAATAAAGTGCAAGTTTAAAGTATCTGGGGATTACCGTTGCATATTCGCAACTTTTTTTTTTTCTTGACGATGTCAGTCATCTTCTTCCATTCGAAGTATTTTCGACGATTTTTTTTGTTTATAGAGAAAATGAGCAGCACATCCAACAAAGAAAATTCTAAAAAATCAACGGTAGGTCGGTGCTAGTCTAATTTTGCACTTTTTACGAAAGTCTATTCACATTTTTCTTAAATGTTGCACAAACATTAAAACTTTGATTTATATGGTTTCTGTTAAAGAATATACTACATTTCCACAAACAAATA